CAGAGCCACCCCGAGTGAAGGGCCCGAGAAAAAGTAGCACGCCTACTATAGTTCTTGCCCGAAAATGCTTTAGATGCCTTGGATTTGGGCAGATTGCCTCCAGTTGCGTGACATCAAGTTGTCTTTCATCGAGTAGGGTGTTGTAGAGGAGGATAGCGACGAGGAGGCAGTTGAGGAACGAGGGTAGGTGTATTACCTTCGGTTGTGTGAAGGTAAAATGTCCGTGGTTCGACAAGTCCTACAGGCCGAGGATACGAGTGATCCACTGTGGCTTTGTCACCGCATATTCTATGCCCGTTGCATTGTGAACGGAAATGTACGCAGTCTAATGATCGATGGAGGGAACAACAAGAACATGACATCTACACAGATGGTGGAGAAATCGGGCCTCATGATTCAGACACATTCTCAACTGTATTCTTTGACGTGGTTGAAGAGAAAGAATATTGTTAGCATTGGCTGGAGATGTCTACTGGAGTTTTCGATTGGAAGCCAACTACAGGATCAGGTGAGGTGTGATGTGGTAACCATGGATGTTTGACGCCGCTTGTTGGGGAGACTGTGGTAATTTGGCCACAGGATTCTATACGACAGATTCAAAAACACCTACTCTTTAACCAAAGAGGGGAAGCACATCGTCCTTCCTTTGACGGTGCCCGAGATCACAAATGCCTTTGCCAGTAGGGTATGTGGGACAAGTTTTGGTGATGATATGGAATGATAGGAGCGAGCACTGACTCAAGACATGGGACAGTCACGTTAGAGAGTATTTTAGGACATCACAGTTGATGTCATACTGCCACGGTCACCACCACTTAAGGAGGTTCGAGTTACCTCACTTTAGATCATGTTTAGCTGACCTTGGATTACGTTGAGAGGATTCAACAATATATGCATGACATGCAGACCCAACTCATCTTAGTTGGGGATCCTCAGACGGGTGGATCTATATGAATCTGTGCTCACAAGTAGGGAAAAACTCTCAAGTGTCTTGGGGGACGGTGCAATCGCTAGTGAGATTTAAGTGCTCCTTGGATCACAGTAAAAGATCCTTTAGCCTTGGGAGCTTACAGTAACTTTGTCACTATCAATGTATAGCTAGATGCTTCGACGAATGAGGTCGAAGTTTCCCCAAGCTCAGGAGACTGATAGGGGGCTCTACTTAACTAGCGATTGGTCGAACTGGGACAGTTGGACCTGTTCTGGGAGGGAGTCAAAGGGTGGTTGACTTGCCCAATTATTTGGGTTAAGGTTGTCTAAATCCGTCCTTATCTGCTATTATAAAAATGTCATTTGCTTTGTTTAGGTTTAGTTTTGTTGAGCTTCTGTCAGGACAGTCGTCGACATCTCCTTTTTCTCATCTAGGTTATATTCCACGGCAAGAAGGTGCTCTGTCTGTAACTCATCTCGAGATCGTGCATATCTTCCCTTAATTCTTCACCTACTTCCCATCCTCTGCTTGCCACCATCCACCCTCCAACCCCACCATCTTTCTGGTGATCCTGCCTGCTCCCGTCTTTCTTTAAGTGTAGTTAAATCATCGTTCTCTTTATTTTCTTATCGCTCACCTCATCACAACCCTCTTTTAATCGCTACAACAACTCTAACCTATGTCGATATCACCTGCAACTCCTATTAAGCTCTCTCTTGCATCTTCGCCCTAGTCGGAGACTTGTGTTGTGGTGTATTTTCTTTTCCATTTTGAGTTTTGATTGTAATCTCTGTTTTCTTAAGTAATAATATTTGCTTTTCGTAATGCGATTTGGGTTAAGTTTGTTGTGAGTGGCAAATACATTGTTTTTATCAGAAATCTTCAATTTATATTTTTCAGAAATTAAAGTTTAAACCATTGAACTTCTCCATCTTGTACCTCACTTCGTCGATTATTGCTCCCACTCAAGCCAAAGATCTTTAGAAAATCTCACTTTGATATCCTTGTTTTGAGGAAACCAAAAACATGGGTAACAGTGATTCATGAGATCCGAAGCAATATTGTGAACAGAAGCGCACTTACGAGGTGACAAAATGACACTGGAGCTTCCCGCACAAACATTTTTTGCGATACTACAACTGCTACAGTATCATGGGATTTGCCATTGCGGGAGACGAGTTGAAACGATATCGTTTTCTTTCTTATGCTTTCTTTTTTATTATTCTTCATTCCTTTTCAGTACTTTCTTTATTATGAGTTATATTAGGGTCTGCAAGGGAGTTTTTGTCGTATTTCTGTTCAACACAACCTTCGACGTTCGCTTCTCCATCCGAGGGTTTGAATGAGGCTCCGGTTGTATCACTTTTTCGAAGTGGTGATTATCTTTCCTATCCCCTTCCACATCTCTCCCGCGTTGTTGCCGATTATCCTACTACAACCACTCAAGACAACATTTATTTATTTATTTATTTTTTCTGCATTTTTGCCATGTTTGGCATTCCACACATCCGCCTCCACCCTTTCTCAACCTTACCGCATCACTCCCAGCCGCTGATCCTCGCTGTCATCATCCGGGAAACTGCAAATCTGATGTTTTCTTTTTTTCCAACAATCATTTCAACTTGGTGCCGCTTGAACTACCGTTTTTTGCTGTCCTTGCAGTCCCCACTTGCTGCTTCTGCACCGGACAACACTCCTTGTGGTGTACTGCAGTCCACAACCCTTCCCCTTCATTGCACTTTGTTGTCCTAGCCTCTCTCTTTTTGCTGTCCCAACTACTCATAACCCATTTCAGTCACCTACCTCTAGGGGCGTAAATGAGACGAACACAAGCGAGCTTAAGCTCAGTTCATGTTCGACTTGTTAAAAAATATCACTGCTCGTGTTTGACTCGTTAAAAAGTATCATCGTTCTTGTTCCATTCGTTTATATTTCGAACACAAAAAAATTGTTTGTGTTCGACTCATTTGCTTGGCGAGCCGAACACGAGTTGTTCGCGAGCAAAGAGCATGCCGCTGTAGGATGTTAAGGGTTTGGGCAATATTTAAATAATATTAAAATGTTAGATTATTTCTACTGCTCATATTTTAATTTAATATATTTTTTTTTTTTTTTTTAATTAATAATTTTACTTGATTATAAATTTTTGGAGCCTTGTAGTATTTAAAAAAAAATAAATTGACTACAAGACTACGCAGATTTATAATCAAGTAAAATTATTAATTAAAAAGTACAATAAAAATATATTAAATTACATTTAACTAACATTTTAATATAAATATAATCTTAATTATTTCGAGTCAAACTAAGTCGAACACGAATGAACAAATCTTTGTTCGTGTTCGACCCGTTTATATATCGAGTGCAAAAAAATGTTCTAGTTCGACTCGTTAATCTAGCGAACAAATCAAACACAAGCTTCTTAACGAGCTGAACATGTAATTTTCACGAAGAACGAGCCGTTTCGACAGCCATATCTACCTCCTCTCCACGACCACCTTGCTGACCTTCACTACCCAGAGATCGCCTTAGTGTGAGTTTGTGTCATGTTTGTTGTGATTTTCCTTTTGAGTGTGTTTGATTGTAACCATTTATTTACTTTAAGTAATAATATTTTTTTCATATTGTGGTTGGGTTAACTCCGATATCATGCAGAAAACACAAAAAACATCAAGATTTAATGTGTAAGAAGCCGATAACGAGAATAAACAACGGAGCCGCTCCACACCAAGAAATTAACTCTGACAAATGGAGAAATAGCTGGAGCATCTTTACAATCCTGAAACTCATGAATACTCATTTATCTCTTTTGCAGGAGAGCTCACGAAATCCATCTTTAGCCTGCATTTGCTCTTTTTTTTCTCTCAGCAAAAGACAGACTTAAACTCCTAAGTGCAAAAAAGTTGTTACGGGCGCCTAGGCACCACTTTCGAGCGCCGAGTTTCCGTCGAAACTAAGAATGTGCGTAACACCGAGGCCCCTACACTTGTGCTGAAGTGCCTAAACAGGCGCTGGGGCGCCCCATTATGAGTGCCTAGACGCTGCACCTAGGCTCAGGGGTGCCGGATGCAGGTATTGGTTTTAATTTCCCTGACATAATCAGTCTCCACGCATAACATTATGTTATGATTGGAGTCCACATGCTCAATAAAATAGGTTCAAACTAATTATAAATCCGAAAAAAAGCTTTGGATGATTTTCACATTAGAATAATCCAGAGAGAATTTGCCTAAAATAAAAATAACAAAGATATTTAACAAAGGTGATTTCTCATCAAGGAAGTTAAGGGCAGGTTTTCCATGATATATGGAAATACGCTTATGAGGTTGTGGGATTACATCTTGATTGAAGGCCCAATAGAAGTGATTGTTTGCCCCCTATTTGGGGTATGGTGAGATGAACTAATAGGAGTGTCTACCAGAATCCTGAGAAGGATAGAAGAAGGGAAAAGCGAAGGAGCTTGTTGAAGAAATGACAGCAAAAGAGATTGATTTGGGTTGGAAGGTGAAATTGTAGGCAGAGGCGCAGAGCATTAACTGGAATGAAGGAAGAGAACGAGCATGGGAATGAAGATGAGAGGTGTAACAATAGTTCACCAAGGATGAGAAAAAAGGGGGAAAAGGAGACTTAAACATCCTGGGATTGGGAGGGAGGTAGGGAGGTGTTCCTATAGGATTTGGAATGCTGCCGCATGAGAAGATTATTTCTCTAACCTGAATATTTCAGCAGAGGCATTAATGGGTAGCATTTTGTCCATCTATTTGATAATGCTCTTCAAGAATGATGAATGTTTCTTCATTTTGATCATTTTATTTTTAAGTTATTTTTTTCTTTAATATATCTGCATTTGTTTCATTAAAAAAAGGAAAGTCTGGCGCATAGTTCTAGCCCTGTTCTTTTTTAAGTGAACCGTTGCTTTACAAGCAGGCTACCAGGAGCTCAGTTTATTTGTTTTCATATTTGTAGTGCCTTTGGCAAGTTGAATTTCATTTTTGTATGTATTGCTGACAAACAGGGTTCGTATAATTAGCTAAAGATCTCTTCCTTTTTTTTTTCTTTAATTAAACAGCAAGTGCAGAATTTTGGCGAGCCTTTCTTCTTTGTCCTTCACGACGGCGAAACTCTGGCAGAAGTGAAGGTTCGCATCCAGAAGAAACTGCAAATTCCCGATGAGGAGTTTTCCAAGGTAAATTTTTTTTAATGCATGTCTTAAATCACCAAGAACTTGTATATGGTTGCAAAACTAAATGTCTATACTTATAAAAGGTTAAATTATTTGCCTTCATATTGTTTAGCTATATGGCATAGTTTCTATTTTGCTGGTTTATAAAACTTGCCTTTTAATAAACTGCCTTCTCAATTGAATATTCTAAATAAAACACATTATGAAATCCTTATAACATTGTTTTGAGTCGTCAAACAGTTCTAAAAAACTTGGGAGCATTACTATGTCCATACCCTTCTATATCATTTAGATACTTAACTTGATCAAGGTTTGTAAAATGCATCTTCTTTGGATACTCCTTTACTCAATGGGTATAAGTGTAACCATTCAAGTTCTAAAACAATTTTTTCCCTCTCAAGATGATACTTTGCTGAAAATCAATGATATTATGCCTAAGGTTGCCTTCAAGGGAAGCCTTTGAATGACGTTAACTTGGAGTTTCTTAATCTCCATCGCTCAATGTCTTCCCAATCACTAAAATAGCTTTGGTTAATCCTATTCTTCAACTAGCTTCAAGTGCTTGTAAAAAGCAGCTGTAGTAGTGCCATCTCCCTAAAGCAAGGAGTTGTGGACGGTTGTATGAAGGGTGGACAACAAACTGAACCTATATGGGTGAGTCAAGTGGTGTAGGGTGGAAGGTGGATGTTGGGCAGGCGCAGGAAGGGCTAAGGATTAAAGTTATGAGGGTTGTTGTTGGGAAGGTAAAGGCTGATGGTCGGTTTACGACAACAAAGAAGCTTGTCATGGGGATAACGGTAGAGCAGTGGGGTGTGTAATGGAGTTACGACTAAACAGGTGGGCGACTGGAAGTGGAGTTACTGCTAGATAGAGGGGCTGGAAGTTAAATTACTGCGGGACAGAGAGATTCATATCAGAAGGGGGACGCTGGGGAGGAGCGACGACATGCAAACAGATGGGAGAGGAAAGGAAAAAGGAAGGTAAACATCGCCTTGGTGCAGGATATAGTCGCAACACCACCAGTTCTTGGTTAGGACCCTAGCAAAAGTGAAGCGTTAACGCAAAAAATCTGAGACTAAAAATTGAACCCAAACACAAAGAAAATACATATATATAGAGTAGAGAATTAGAAGGAGGAGGCCCCTCCCCTTGGTTGGCAACCGTAGTCCGTCAACATGGACTGGCCGACCCTTGCTCTCCTCTTGGTTGACTCGGCTCGGCTGATCTAGCCAGTTCAGCCCTTCTAGAGAGTCCCACGTTAGTCTCTCGGATTTAGGGGAGCTTCGACTTCATTTTCGAAGCTTTTGGCTCCTTGTAGAATGAAGTCAAATTTGCCATGTTGAGGGTAGCTGAGATATTGTAGGCCACTGGTAGGCTGATCTTATAGGCGTTGTAATTCAACTTCTTGAGGATCCTGAAAGATCCATCTGATTTGGGTTTGAGTTTCTTGAATGCTCCCATTGGAAACCTTTCTTTTTTCAGATAAATCCACACTATATCCTCTTCCTGAAAGTTACATTTTTCCTAGTCTTTTTGGCCGATGTTTCGTGCTTGTGATTCCGCTTTGAGATCACCTTTCCCACCTTTTTGTGTAGCTTCTGAATCTCTTGCACTCGTTATGCAATATCCCAACCTTTGATGTCGACAGGAGTGGTACCAAGTTTAGTAAGATGAATGAGTCGTATCGACACAGTCTCAAATGGGGTGCGTCCTGTGGTCTGACTTATGGATCTGTTGTAAGCAAACTCGGCTTGAGCTAGAATCAAATCTCATTATTTAATATTCGTTCTTATGAAGCAACTCAGGAAAGTTCCTTGGACACTTTTTCACTACCTTTGTTTAATCGTCCGTTTGTGAGTGAGGTGGTAAACTGAATCGTAGTTTATTGCCTAGCCATAGGGTCCTCTAGAAGTGACTCAGGAACTTGACATCCCTGTAGAAGTGATGGTTCTAGATATCCCATGTAGTCTCACGACTTCCATGAAGAATAAATTAGCAACATGCGATGCATCCAGTATCCAGTGACAGGGTACAAAATGTGTCATCTTTGAGAATCTATCTACCACAACCATCATAAAATCCTTGCTTTGATGTGTTCTCGGGAGACCTGCCACAAAATTCATATTGACATGCACACACGGGGCCTCTGGTGCTAGTAATGTGGTGTATAGTTCTGCATTATGTCCTCTTGTTTTGGCCACATGGCAAATTCGACATTGTCTGACGCGTCGCTTCACATTCCTTGTCAGTCGGGGCCAAAATAAAGTGCTCTTTCACAAGCGCGAGTCTTATCTCTATCAAAGTGTTCTGCAAGTACTCCACTGTGGCTTTCTTGAATACTGGACTCGCTCAACAAGTATCTAGGAATACACAACTTATTTTGTTAGAACAGGTAACCATCAACTCTGTGGTACTGATCGGTAGACTTCTCCTGGCACTGCTCCCAAATCCCTCTGAAGTATTTGTATATCTCGTATAACTCCTTCACTACTTCAAAACCTACAACTCAAGTCTGCATCAAAGTGATCGTCAAGTGATGGTGGCTCGATGCGTCTGCTACTCGGTTCTGGCTTCTCACCCTGTGCTTAAGCACGAACTGAAACGACTCCGAGAACTTTACCCAAGATGTGTGTCAGCCCTCAGTTTGCTCTCGCACTTCAATATTTTCAAAGCCTCATGATCCGTGAGCAAGTTGAACTCACCCGTCGGTAGGTAGTGACTAGTGATTATGAGCTCTCATAACCACATATAACTCCTTGATGTATGTCCAATATTTCCTCTTGGAATCATTCAACTTTTCACTGAAGAATGTTATGGGGTGGCATCCCTGGCTTAGTACTACTCCAATCCTCATAATGGGTGCATCACACTCCACCTTGAATAGCTTATTGAAGTATGGTAATGCCAAAACTGGTGTCGAGATCACTTTCTTCTTCGACATGGTGAAACTGGCCTAAGGTGCATCTATCTTCTAGAACTTATGTCCTTTCAAAAGCTCTGTCAGAGGAGCGATGATGGGGGTAAGCGCGGGAATATGGGGAGGGAGTCACTGCATTGGAGCAGGATACAATTAGACACCACTTGTCCACGAATAGAGTTCTAGCAAGGGAGAAATGCTACCGACAAAAAATGTGAGACGAAAAACTAATAAAACAAAAAATAATATATTTATAGACTTATGAGGAATGTCTTGTCCCGATTTAAAGTACAATTATGTTTAAATAAGATTTTGTAAATCCTGTAAATTCGGATTTATCAAATCCTGTTGTGGTTAAATTCTGAAAACTAGTTGGTATGTTAGTAAGTAAATCTTGAGAAACTGTTTGTCAGCTTTAGAAGGATTTAACAGGATTTATCAAATGAAACATCCAAAGATAAATATAAAATAAAAAAATATAAATGAGTCTCTAAAACCTCAAAGTACATAAAATAAGGCATTTAAATTAATTAATAATTAATAATTGTGTAAACTAATTGCTTAATAAATGGTTGCATAAAATGTTATTGAATGATTTAAAATTTTAAATATATCTTTATACATTAATTAACTATTAAATAATTACACTTAATTTATCTGATTATAATTAATTGGATAATGTATAAATTAATTATTAATCAAATAAGTTATTAAAATTAATTTAAACAAAAATAAATTTAAACCCTTCGTTTAGGTCGCTCCCCCTCCTGGTTTTGCCCAAAACCATCGACTTTGGGAACAAACGTTCGCGATACAATCACCATCGTAGCTAGCTAGGAGGACAACGACGAGATTGCGGCTTACAGATACCACTGAAACTCCCATCTTTCTCATTCTTTTACTCTACCCTACCAAAAACCGTTGAGGAAGGTAAGCCTATTCGTGCCATTCTTCCTCTTCGTTTGTCTCAGATTTAATAAATGTGTCGATTCATAGGATTTAGTAAATCCAGGATTTATCGTTATTCGACGATTTTTGGAATTGTCGGGAGCTTGGGATTCACATAGTCTTTTTTTTTTGCTGTTTGGCAGGATTTAGCTTAAATTCTATGTAAATTCTGCTTAAAACCGGCTACAAAACAACCCTTAGGGTAAATAGGAGTGGACCCCACTTGCAATATGAGGAAAGTCCGCATAAAGAATGGGTTGATTGGCCCTCTTGGACCATTCCAAGTCACCCTCACTCGTGGAAGTTTGTGGTACTGTACCAAAAAGTATTTCCTGGTCGCTCTCGCGTCAGATACATACTATAACATATGTATGTATGTGTGTGTGAGTGTGTCAAGTTCGAGTCGTGTTGGCGTGCCCTCCTTCAATCTTTTTATAAATAAAAAGTGATATTTAATACTTTGCTTGAGATATTGGAGGTTCCACATGGCTTCTTCTAGCTTACCAAAAAAATTCATATATATATATATATGTATATATATATATATATATGAATTTCTTGGTAAGCTAGAAGAAGCCATGTCGTACCTCCAATATCTCAAGCAAAGTATTAAATATCACTTTTTATTTATAAAAAGATTGAAGGATGGTAAAATCACAATTCCAATAGTTTGTGTAGATGACATAATTATAATATGAGATGATGTTGAAGAAATTAGGGGATGAAATGTCCAAATAATTTGATTTAAATATTTGAAAAGACTCAATATGCAGTATAGAAGTGGCTTACTCAAATGTTGGGATATTCATCTTTTTACAAAAATATATCATGAATCTCCTTAATGGAACAAATTTAAGATGATGCAATTCCTAAAAAAAATATAATTGATTGTTGCTAACTTGGAGATGTAAGCAACAATCTGAAACTTGGTAAGGTCTCGCACGTCTTCATCCACACATGACAAGTACACTCTTGCAAATTTGTCCTTACTGCGGTCCTGTGTGAAGGAACCCCATGTGTTGGTTACAAAACCAATTGCTGCTTGGGTTTCATGCAGTTTTTTCCTCGTTAAATTGCTGTGCTGCTCTACCTTTTTGTGTCTATTACCTATGGCTAGGAAGTTGCGATACAATGTTCA